CAACTGCTCCTACCACCCCACCCCTCCCCCTGGCTGCCATGGCAGCGGAACGCGAGCGCACAGGGCCCACAGTGTCTGAGGATGGACGTTGGCGCACAAAGGCAGAGACCAGCTGACTACATAGGTGGTTTTTATAGTACGTTATTTTGGCCTCCCTCTCAGCAGGTGTGAAAAAGGCCACCATTTTTGAACGGTAGCGAGGGTCCAACAAGGTGGACAGCCAAAAGTCATCCCTCTGTCTGATGGTTATTATTCGGAAAAGGTGTCGGTACGCAAGCAAGCGAGCATGCTATGGGCCATTTGTGCCAAGGAATGCGAGGGACTCCCCTGCCTCCATCTCCACAGCATACTGCCACGGTGCGTCTGGGTCCTCTGTCTCCTCCTCCTCTCCTCCCGCTCTACCAGATGCTCCCTGCTCCTCCACTCCTGTCCGCTGAGTGGAAAAACCACCCATTTCACTCAATAATTCCTGAGCACCAATGTCCTCCTCTACCTCCTCCTCTTCTTCCTGTCCTGCCCCCACAGGGGTCATGTGGCGTTGAGATCTGTGCGCCACGTCTACCGCACCCTGACCAGCCATTGTTAACAGCATTTGTTCCAGGACGTGCAACAGAGGAATGACGTCGTTCATCCCATAGTCCTGCCGACTCACGAATAGCGTGGCCTCCTCAAAGGGCCTGAGCAAGCGCAGGTGTCACGCATGAGCTGCCAATGGCTGACATCTAAAGTTTACACAGGGAGTACCTTTATCCGCTTTTAACATCAGGAAATCTGTGATGGCCTTTTGCTGTTCGTAAAGGCGGTCTAACATATGTAGGGTTGAATTCCACCTTGTTGCAACGTCACAGCATGAGAGTCGGTACGGGGCCCATGGCAGATTACGGGAGCCTGGCAGCAGCAATGGGAGGCCCGTAATCTGCCAGCACCCTATGACAAAAAATGTAACACACCAGCAGTGTGTGAGGAGACCTGAAAGTGGCACATGGCAGAGTGTGGCGATGGAGACAGCAGCAATGGGAGGCCGTACAGGGACCCATGACACACTCTGGACCTGGCAGCAGCATGAGGAGGCGGTACAGGGGCCCATGGCAGATTACGGGCCTGGCAGCAGCAATGGGAGGCCCGTAATCTGCCAGCACCCTATGACAAAAAATGGAACACACCAGCAGTGTGTGAGGAGACCTGAAAGTGGCACATGGCAGAGTGTGGCGATGGAGACAGCAGCAATGGGAGGCCGTACAGGGACCCATGACAGACTCTGGACCTGGCAGCAGCATGAGGAGGCGGTACAGGGGCCCATGGCAGATTAGGGGCCTGGCAGCAGCTATGGGAGGCCCGTAATCTGCCAGCACCCTATGTCAAAAAATTTAAACACACCAGCAGTGTGAGGAGACCTGAAAGTGGCACATGGGGGCATGAGTGTGGCGGATTTATGGAGACAGCAGCAATGGGAGGCCGTACCAGGGACCCATGAGAGACTCTGACATTGGCAGCAGCATGAGGAGTCGGTATAGGGGCCCATGGCAGATTAGGGGCCTGGCAGTCAGCAGCTATGGGAGGCCCGTAATCTGCCAGCACCCTATGTCAAAAAATTTAACACCACCAGCAGGCCGGTGCAGGAGACCTGAAAGGGCACATGGCAGAGATGTGGCGATGGAGACAGCAGCAAGTTTCGTTGCCCATGTCAAGACTGTCTGGACCTGGCAGCAGCATGAGGTGCTGTCCAAGGGGCCCATGGCAGATTAGGGCCTGGCAGCAGCTAATGGGAGGCCCGTATGCTGCCAGCACCCTATGACACTGGAACACCTCCACCTTGTGTGGTAGACCTGAAAGTGGCACATGGCATCGACATGCGGATTGAGGCAGCCGCTGCTGGTGGAGCTGCCACTGCTCCTGAAATCCCCACCCCTCCCCCTGATTCATGGCAGCGGAACGTGAAGGCGAGCGCACAGGGCCCACTGGCAGACAGTGTCCTCCGCGGATGGACGTTGGCGCACAAAGGCAGAGACCAACTGACTACATAGGTGGTTTTTATAGTACGTTATTTTGGCCTCCCTCTCAGCAGGTGTGAAAAAGGCCACCATTTTTGAACGGTAGCGAGGGTCCAACAAGGTGGACAGCCAAAAGTCATCCCTCTGTCTGATGGTTATTATTCGGCTGTCGCTACGCAAGCAAGCGAGCATGCTATGGGCCATTTGTGCCAAGGAATGCGAGGGACTCCCTGCCTCCATCTCCACAGCATACTGCCACGGTGCGTCTGGGTCCTCTGTCTCCTCCTCCTCCTCCTCTACCAGATGCTCCTGCTCCTCCACTCCTGTCCGCTGAGTGGAAAAACCACCCATTTCACTCAATAATTCCTGAGCACAAATGTCCTCCTCTACCTCCTCCTCTTCTTCCTGTCCTGCCCCCACAGGGGTCATGTGGCGTTGAGATCTGTGCGCCACGTCTACCGCACCCTGACCAGCCATTGTTAACAGCATTTGTTCCAGGACGTGCAACAGAGGAATGACGTCGTTCATCCCATAGTCCTGCCGACTCACGAATAGCGTGGCCTCCTCAAAGGGCCTGAGCAAGCGGCAGGTGTCACGCATGAGCTGCCAATGGCTGACATCGAAGTTACACAGGGGAGTACCTTTATCCGCTTGTAACATCAGGAAATCGGTGATGGCCTTTCGCTGTTCGTAAAGGCGGTCTAACATGTGTAGGGTTGAATTCCACCTTGTTGCAACGTCGCAGATCAGGCGATGCTGTGGAATTCCGTTCTGCCGCTGCAGCTCAAGGAGGGTGTGCTTTGCGGTGTAGGAATGGCTGAAATGCATGCAAAGTTTACGTGACATTTTAAGGATGTCTTGCAGTGGGATGGTGGATTTTAGGACCGCTTGACAACCAGATTGAACACGTGAGCCATGCATGGCGCATGGCACAACCTTCCTTGACGCAGAGCAGACACCATGTTCTTTCCGTTGTCGGTCAACATGGTTCCGATTTTCAGTTTGCGCGGAGACAGCCATCTGTCGATTTCTCTGTTCATTACACTGAGAAGTTCCTCCCCTGTGTGACTACGTTCGCCAAGGCATACCAGGTGCAGCACAGCGTGACACCGTTGCGCCCTGCACATGTGATATGCCGGTCGGGTAATGGGACTTGGCACGGGGGTGGCGGCTGAGGACACGGCGGAAGAAGAGGTGGTAGAGGCGGACATCTTTTGTGGACCAAGGACGTGCAAACGTGGAGGCAAAAGCGGCGTGACCTGTCCAAGTTGCTGGTGCGGCTGTGACGGCACCACGTTCACCCAGTGGGCCGTAAATGACATGTACTGTCCCTGACCGTAGTTACAGCTCCACACGTCGGCGCTGCCGTGCACTTTGGCAGAGACCGACATGCTCAAAGACTGGCCCACCATCTCTTCTACATGTGAATGCAGGGCTGGCACTGCCTTTTTGGCGAAGAAATGACGGCTTGGCACTCTCCACCGCGGCGCGGCACAAGCCATCATTTCTCGGAAAGGTGCTGAGTCCACCACTTGGAAAGGGAGGGACTGCAGCACCAGCAACTTGGACAGGAGGACGTTCAGCTTTTGCACCGTCGGGTGCGTGCTCGCAAACTGTTGTCTCTTGGAAACGGATTCCAAGAAAGACTGCTGACGGAATCCGTGAAGAGGAGTAGCAGGAGAAGGAGCATCTGAACGAGCGGAAGATGCCAACGAGCGACAACTCCCCTCAGCAGAGGTGTTGGAGCCTTGACTGGCTGATAGAGGGCGATTGACGTCGGGTGACGGAGCAAGTAACGGAGCGGGTGATGGAGCGGGGGCTGGGGCAGGCAGAACCGCCGTATCTTTATCACGGTTTTCCCAGGCCACCAAATGGCGACGCTGCATATGCTGCCGCAACGCTGTAGTCCCAACATGGGCCCCCTGGCCACGCTTGACTTTCTGGCCACATAGTCGACATACGGCTACGTTTACTTCCTCGGGCGGCTTGACAAAAAATTGCCACACCGCCGAGTAGGAAACTTTGCCCCCGATACTCCTCACTGGCTGACTGCTGCTTCCTCCGTGCACACCGGCACCACTACTGGCCGTGGTGGTAGGCTGCAGTGGAGCTGGTGCTCTACTCCGTGGCCGTTTGCCTCCACTGACACTGCTGCGACCCTGCTGCCTCCTGGGCAACCCACCGACTGTTTTGCTCGCTGCCAAGCTGCCACCCTCTTCTCCTGATGATGCGGAAGCAATAGCCTGATGACGACGAGGCTGCCAAGTGCGATCAGCCTCATCATCATCAATTAGGGTCTCCGCCTCACTACTAGCCCCCTCGGCTGCGTGTGGGTCAGGAGACAGACCTGTCTCTAGACCGGCTACCGAGCCACTCTCCTCGCCACTACTTCTTCGCCTGGCTGCTGAAGAGGCGGATGTCTCCCCCCGTTCCTGACCGCCCTCTGTTAGCTCTTCCTCACTGTACAGTGGGGCTGAGCCCACAGCATGCGATACTTCGCTTGGTGAGGGAACACCAAAGGACAGGGGCAGGTAGAGGACACGTGATTTCAGTGGGCTTGCTCCCGGGCCATGCCAACTAACGGTTGTGTCTGACGTACCCACCGACCGTTGGCTGTAGGTGTCAGAGGTGACCTGGGAAGAGGAAGACGACCGAGCCAACCAATCGATGACGGCAGGGTTGTCGGTGGAGACACGACCGCTGGATGACACCGGGAGCACTGGCCTCTGGCTGCGACTAGTGCTGCCTCTCGACCCCTTCCTCTGCTGCCACGTCTGCTCGCTCCTAAAACATTGCCTCCTCTGCCACTCCTCTGCATGTTGTCTGACATACTCTTTAATTAAACGATTCTGTGTCCCTGAGTAACAATTCTGTGTCTGTCCCTGAGTAACAATTCTGTGTCCCTGAGTAACAATTCTGTGTCCCTAAGTAACAATTCTGTGTCCCTCAGTAACAATTCTGTGTCCCTCAGTAGTAACAATTCTGTGTCCCTCAGTAACAATTCTGTGTCCCTCAGTAACAATTCTGTGTCTGTCCCTGAGTAACAATTCTGTGTCCCTGAGTAACAATTCTGTGTCCCTAGTAACAATTCTGTGTCCCTCAGTAACAATTCTGTGTCCCTCAGTAACAATTCTGTGTCTGTCCCTGAGTAACAATTCTGTGTCCCTGAGTAACAATTCTGTGTCTGTCCCTGAGTAACAATTCTGTGTCCCTCAGTAACAATTCTGTGTCCCTCAGTAACAATTCTGTGTCCCTGAGTAACAATTCTGTGTCCCCTGAGTAACAATTCTGTGTCCCTGAGTAACAATTCTGTGTCCCTCAGTAACAATTCTGTGTCCCTCAGTAACAATTCTGTGTCTGTCCCTGAGTAACAATTCTGTGTCCCTAAGTAACAATTTTCTGTGTCTGTCCCTCAGTAACAATTCTGTGTCCCTCAGTAACAATTCTGTGTCCCTCAGTAACAATTCTGTGTCTGTCCCTGAGTAACAATTCTGTGTCCCTAAGTAACGTTTTCTGTGTCCCTCAGTAACAATTCTGTGTGGCCCTCAGTAACGAATTCTGTGTCCCTAGTAACAATTCTGTGTCCCTCCCTGAGTAACAATTTCTGTGTCCCTAAGTAACGTTTCTGTGTCCCTAAGTAACAATTCTGTGTCCCTCAGTAACAATTCTGTGTCCCTCAGTAACAATTCTGTGTCTGTCCCTGAGTAACAATTCTGTGTCCCTGAGTAACAATTCTGTGTCCCTAAGTAACAATTCTGTGTCCCTAAGTAACAATTCTGTGTCCCTCAGTAACAATTCTGTGTCCCTCAGAGTAACAATTCTGTGTCCCTCAGTAACAATTCTGTGTCCCTCAGTAACAATTCTGTGTCCCTAAGTAACAATTCTGTGTCCCTAAGTAACAATTCTGTGTCCCTCAGTAACAATTCTGTGTCCCCCTCAGTAACAATTCTGTGTCTGTCCCTGAGTAACAATTCTGTGTCCCCCTGAGTAACAATTCTGTGGCCCTCTAACAATTCTGTGTCCCTAAGTAACAATTCTGTGGCCCTAAGTAACAATTCTGTGGCCCTAAGTAACGTTTCTGTGCCCTAAGTAACAATTCTGTGGCCCTCAGTAACAAATTCTGTGTCCCTCAGTAACAATTCTGTGTCTGTCCCTAAGTAACAATTCTGTGTCCCTAAGTAACGTTTCTGTGGCCCTAAGTAACAATTCTGTGGCCCTCAGTAACAATTCTGTGTCCCCTCAGTAACAATTCTGTGTCTGTCCCTGAGTAACAATTCTGTGTCCCTCAGTAACAATTCCCCCCTAAGTAACGTTTCTGTGGCCCTAAGTAACAATTCTGTGGCCCTAAGTAACGTTCTGTGGCCCTAAGTAACGTTTCTGTGTCCCTCAGTAACAATTCTGTGTCCCTCAGTAACAATGTCTGTGTCCCTGTGTAACAATTCTGTGTCCCCTAAGTAACAATTCTGTGGCCCTAAGTAACGTTCTGTGGCCCTAAGTAACAATTCTGTGGCCCTCAGTAACAATTCTGTGTCCCTCAGTAACAATTCTGTGTCTGTCCCTAAGTAACAATTCTGTGTCCCTAAGTAACGTTTCTGTGGCCCTAAGTAACGGTTTCTGTGGCCCTCAGTAACAATTCTGTGTCCCTCAGTAACAATTCTGTGTCTGTCCCTGAGTAACAATTCTGTGTCCCTAAGTAACAATTCTGTGTCCCTAAGTAACGTATTCTGTGTCCCTAAGTAACAATTCTGTGGCCCTCAGTAACAATTCTGTGTCCCTCAGTAACAATTCTGTGTCCCTAGTAACAATTCTGTGGCCCTAAGTAACAATTCTGTGGTGGCCCTAAGTAACAATTCTGTGTCCCTCAGTAACAATTCTGTGTCCCTGCCCTCAGTAACAATTCTGTGTCTGTCCCTAAGTAACAATTCTGTGTCCCTAAGTAACAATTCTGTGGCCCTAAGTAACAATTCTGTGGCCCTCAGTAACAATTCTGTGTCCCTCAAGTAACAATTCTGTGTCTGTCCCTAAGTAACAATTCTGTGTCCCTAAGTAACGTTTCTGTGGCCCTAAGTAACGTTTCTGTGTCCCTCAGTAACAATTCTGTGTCCCTCAGTAACAATTCTGTGTCCCTGTCCCTAAGTAACAATTCTGTGTCCCTAAGTAACAATTCTGTGGCCCTCAGTAACAAACTGTGTCCCCTAAGTAACAATTCTGTGTCCCTAAGTAACGTAACAATTCTGTGGCCCCTAAGTAACAATTTCTGTGGCCCTCAGTAACAATTCTGTGTCCCTCAGTAACAATTCTGTGTCCCTAAGTAACATTCTGTGTCTGGCCCTAAGTAACAATTCTGTGGCCCTAAGTAACAATTCTGTGGCCCTAAGTAACAATTCTCTGTGTCCCTAAGTAACAATTCTGTGTCTGTCCCTAAGTAACAATTCTGTGGCCCTAAGTAACGTTTCTGTGGCCCTAAGTAACGTTTTCTGTGGCCCTCAGTAACAATTCTGTGTCCCTCAGTAACAATTCTGTGTCTGTCCCTAAGTAACAATTCTGTGGCCCTAAGTAACGTTTCTGTGGCCTAAGTAACGATTCTGTGGCCTCAGTAACAATTCTGTGTCCCTCATAACAATTCTGTGTCTGTCCCTAAGTAACAATTCTGTGGCCCTAAGTAACGATTCTGTGGCCCTAAGTAACAATTCTGTGGCCCTCAGTAACAATTCTGTCTGTCCCTAAGTAACAATTCTGTGTCCCTAAGTAACGTTTCTGTGGCCCTAAGTAACGTTTCTGTGGCCCTAAGTAACAATTCTGTGTATCCCTCAAGTAACAATTCTGTGGCCCTGAGTAACAATTCTGTGTCCCTAAGTAACAATTCTGTGGCCCTAAGTAACAATTCTGTGGCCCTAAGTAACGTTCTCTGTGGCCCTAAGTAACGTTTCTGTGGCCCTAAGTAACGTTTCTGTGGCCCTCAGTAACAATTCTGTGTGGTCCCTCAAGTAACAATTCTGTGTCTGTCCCTGTGGCCCTAAGTAACAATTCTGTGGCCCTAAGTAACGTTCTGTGGCCCCTAAGTAACGATTCTGTGGCCCTCAGTAACAAATCTGTGTCCCTCAGTAACAATTCTGTGTGTCCCTAAGTAACAATTCTGTGGCCCTAAGTAACGTTTCTGTGGCCCTAAGTAACGATTCTGTGGCCCTCAGTAACAATTCTGTGTCCCTCAGTAACAATTCTGTGTCTGTCCCTAAGTAACAATTCTGTGGCCCTAAGTAACGTTTCTGTGGCCCTAAGTAACGTTCTGTGGCCCTAAGTAACAATTCTGTGGCCCTAAGTAACGATTCTGTGGCCCTAAGTAACGTTTCTGTGGCCCTAAGTAACGTTTCTGTGGCCCTCAGTAACAATTCTGTGTCCCTCAATAACAATTCTGTGTCTGTCCCTAAGTAACAATTCTGTGGCCCTAAGTAACGTTTCTGTGGCCCTAAGTAACGATTCTGTGGCCCTCAGTAACAAATCTGTGTCCCTCAGTAACAATTCTGTGTCTGTCCCTAAGTAACAATTCTGTGGCCCTAAGTAACGATTCTGTGGCCCTCAGTAACAATTCTGTGTCCCTCAGTAACAATTCTGTGCTGTCCCTAAGTAACAATTCTGTGGCCCTAAGTAACGTTTCTGTGGCCCTAAGTAACGATTCTGTGGCCCTCAGTAACAATTCTGTGGCCCTAAGTAACAATTCTGTGGTCCCTAAGTAACAATTCTGTGGCCCTAAGTAACGTTTCTGTGGCCCTAAGTAACGTTTCTGTGGCCCTAAGTAACGTTTCTGTGGCCCTAAGTAACGTTTCTGTGGCCCTATGTAACGTTTCTGTGGCCCTAAGTAACGTTTCTGTGGCCCTAACTAACGTTTCTGTGTCCCTAAGTAACGTTTCTCTGTGTCCCTAACTCTCTCCCTGCATACAGCCAGGTCTGCCTCTGTTGAATGACTGGAGGCAAATCCTGCGCGCCTTCCCAGACATCCCCGCTCCGTCGCCCGCACATGTGTCGCCGCCATTTTTAGGAAAAATTTTGATTCGCGCATTACCAAAGTCTGCTTATTTTCGGATTCTACGCGAATCGAAATTTTCCTAATATTCGAAACGAATTCCACTTCGCCTACTTCGATTCGCTCATCTCTAATAGTCACCAATGATAAATACTAAAGGGGTCTTTTTCAAAACGCCCTTAGCAAGTTCCGTTTTTCGCTTGGAAAACCACTTGCAAGTTTTTTTTTTCAGTAATAGGCATGTTAAATGCTCATAGTTTAGGTCATGAAAGATGGACCTAAATAACGCCCAAATCATTATATATTTTACTGAAACACAGAGGAAGATGTGAGAAAAAAACAGGTGGTGAGTAGTTGGAAAATGTGTAAGTAGATTCGCAACAATAATTTTTGTAAACTTAATTTTCAAGTCTATATTTTCAGTAATATATTGCTAAAGTTTCCATTTAAGTGCTCACACATCACTTGATAAATCTTTCAAAGTTTTTGCAAAAGTTCAAATGATTGAGGACTATGTTTATGTATAGTTTAAAGTTTACTAAATAATCTGAACAATGCAGCTGGAATGTTTATATATTAACATGGTATTAAAAGCGAATAGACCAGGTAGGTCAGGCAGTTAGTCAGTAGGCCGAGGTCATGTGATTCTGACACCTCTGACAAAAGAAGCACAGCCAGCCTATTGACTTATGTACGTGCAAATAATATGTGACTAAGCAATCAAACCCGGGGCAGGGTACACCCCAACTGATCTAACCATTTTCTGTGCTGTTCCTTGTTATAACAGTTCCTAAAAAGCTTAGTGCCCCCGATTGGCTATAGTTATTTAGTTTCCAATGTTGTTTTCCGTTCCTCTGGGGCTATTTCACTCTTTCCCGTATAAAAATGGAGAGAGGGATGGGTTTTCACCAGGGTTGGACATTATATGTCACTTTTTTCACTTTTGGGAGGAAAGGGAAAAATTTGTAGTTTAAAAAAAATGCAATTGTTTTTTCTTTTTGTGCAAAAAAAAGGGTCGGTATGGATTTTTGGGGGGACCCAATGATTTTTTGTTTTATGTGGGGCCCCCTTTAAATGATTTTATAGGCTTATTTTTTTATTTATTTTTAAAAAAACAAACAGTCATACTTATCTCTCTTGTAAAGGGTTTTTTTCACAGATAGCCCTAAACCCCCCCTTTTTTGGGTTCCACAACAGCGTTCCTTGCTCCTCCTCTTCTTGGGGCAC